GTTCCTCAGTAGAATCGTGTACACCATCATCGACTGATAGGTGTACTGCTGCTTCTCATACTGTGTGCCATTCCTTGGGTATGGCAGGGACCCGTCGAAGAAGCCAAGTATCTGCGCGCCTTCCATCTATAATTCGAATTCAAACAACCAGGTGAAGAAATCCTTTCCATCGAAAGGCCTTGACGTCTGCATCTTCATAACGTGCGCGAACTGCGACTGAACTTGTAGTGCGTCCAGTGACTTTTCTTGTCCAGGTGAGGGTTGCGGGTGTGGCATGAAGCTGATGGACCCGCGCTCGTACGGAGCAAAGGTAGGTTGCTGCTATTGATTTCCTCGTGCGTATGATGTCCTGTCTCACTTCTCCACAGTCCTCCCGTGTCCGGCGGCTCCCTCTGGCACCCTGTCTGGTCTCTACCTCCCCTCGTTCTCTACGAACCTGGTGAGTGGTGCTGACCTACAGGATGGGGGAGTACACCACTTCACTCCTGCGCGTCAGCGGGTGACGCACTGCACAGAGGCTAGCACAGGCCGACACCTGGCTACGTTTACCCGTCAGCCAGGGTCGAGCCTGTACACACTGACCACTGCGTCTCCTCCAGTTGCTGAGTCTGGTAGGGTAGCTGCGTCAGGTCAGGTGTTTGCTGCAGTGTCCAGGTCTGGTCCTGAGTCTGCTCCCTGTTCGTGTCGTCTCCTGTCTCACGAGACTCTCCTCTGGCACCACCGCCTTGGTCACCGCTCTCTGCTTCGGCTGAGAGGCATGGCCTCCCGTCTTCTTGTTTCTGGTCTCCCCCGATCCCTCCCTCCCCTTCCTCAGGGCCCTGGCCCTACCTGTGTCCACTCTGTCGAGGGGCGCCCGCGGGCTGCCCCTCACTCCTCCCAGTTTCCTCCGACAGAGGCCCCGCTGCAGACGCTTCACATGGACGTGTGGGGCCCAGCCCGCGTCCGTGGACAGGGTCACGAGCGCTACTTCCTGCTGGTGGTTGACGACTACTCGCGTTACACCGCGGTCTTCCCCTTGCGCATCAAGGGTGATGTCACTGAGGTGCTGATCGACTGGATCTGCGCAGCTCGTCTCCAGCTCAGGCAGAGCTTTGGCTCGGACTTTCCTGTTCTGCGACTGCACTCGGACAGAGCGGAGAGTTTTCCTCTGGCCTTCTAAGAGCCTACTGTCCCGCACGAGGCATCCGTCAGACCTTCACGCTTCCGGACTCCCCGCAGCAAAATGGGATTGCTGAGCGCCGCATTGGTATGGTCATGGACGTTGCTCGTACGTCTATGATGCATGCGGCTGCTCCCCATTTTCTGTGGCCGTTTGCGGTGAGGTACACGGCGCATCAGATCAACCTACACCCCAGGGTCTCCAGGCCGGAGACCTCCCCAGCCTTGCTGTGGACGGGGATGGTTGGCGATGCATCGGCGTTCCGGGTCAGGGGATCTCGGGCGTTTGTCCGCGACTTGTCTGCGGACAAGCTGTCCCCTCGTGCTGCTCCTTGCGTCTTCCTGGGGTTCCCCCCTGACGCGCCTGGGTGGCAGTTCTACCACCCCACCTCTCGCCGTGTTCTGTCCTCCCAGGACGTCACGTTTGACGAGTCGGTCCCCTACTACCGCCTCTTTTCCTACCGCACTCCGTCCCTCCCCCCCCCCCGCTCTTCCTTGAACCAAGTCCCCCCCCGGTAGACCCCCTCCCCCCTCAGGGTCCTGCCCCTTCAGGTGTGTACCAGGTAGACCCAGTCGAGCCTGTCGAGGTTACTGGTGACTCTGGTGCTGCTGAGGGTGCTGAGACTGGGGGTGCTGAGCCTGGGGGTGCTGAGACTGGGGGTGCTGAGCCTGGGGGTGCTGTGCCTGGGGGTGCTACGCCTGGGGGTGCTGTGCCTGGGAGTGCGACACCTGGGGGTGCTGAGCCTGGGGGTGCTGAGCTTGGAGGTGCTACGCCTGGAGGTTCTCCGGTTGCTTCGTTTCTGCGGGAGCCACTCTCTCCATAGGAACTGCGCGAGTGGTTTGCTCGGCGCTGGAGCCGTGCTGCTGGTGCTTGAGGTTCTTCGGCTACTGAGGGTGCTGCTGTCGCGGGTCCCGAAGGTGCTCGTACTCGGAGTACAGGAGCTGCTGGGCCTGCGGGCTCGACTGGAGCTGGTGCTGGTGAGGATGTTGGCGCCGAGACTACCACTGGCGGTCCTGCTGGGGGTACTCCTGGTGCTGCTGGAGGTTCTGGAGCTACAAGAGGAGCTGCTGGAGCGGGTGCTCCTGCTGGGGGCACTGGTGCTGTCCCTGCTGTATCTGGCGTCGCCACGCGGCCTCGACCGTACTTCGTTCCACTCCTGCAGTAGGTTCTTGGTCTTCCACCTTCTACTGGTCCTCCTCCTCCCTTAGAGTGTCCACAGCCTGTCCCGTTACAGTTACAGTTGCAGCCTACCTCCCCTTTGCCTGCTCCTTCTCCCTACACTGGTCCTACTGGAGGTCTTGCTGAGCGTCGTGAGCCTGCGTCTCGCCCTACGTCGCCTGTCCGTCCAGCTCGCGCTAGTGGTCGTGGTTCGCGGCAGCGTCCTCCTCCTGTCCCTGGCACGCACCGGATGTCTCTTCGTCCGTCCACTGCTCCTCTGCGTGCCCCTTTGCCTTCTCCTCCTGAGTCCTCTCTTTCTGCTCTTGCCGACCTGGAGTCAGACTCTCTTCGTGCTGCCAGTCCTACTGTCAAGCGTCCCCTGGCTACTGTCGTCACTGACCCTTCTTTCGAGTCCACTGCTGCGTCTGCCCTAGTTGCTGAACTCGTCGACTTTGCTGCTCGCTGTCGCCTAGACTACGCTGCTAGTCTTGTCGCTGAGTCTGAATCTGTCTGTCCTCCGTCCGTCGGGGGTGAGTGTGCCCTTGGCACGGACGTCCTTGAGGACGGGCAGGAGGAGTTCCAGTGTCTGGCAGCTGCTTCACCTCATCTCGTGTCCGTACTGCTTACCCCTGAGGGAGACCCGTATGCACTTGACATCCCGACTACGCGCTCCTACGCGGAGGCGATAGAGGGTCCCTACTCCTCTCAGTGGCAGGCAGCTATGGACACAGAGATGGCTTCCTAGAAGTCCACAGGCACCTACGTTGACGAGGCTCCCCCGCCTGGGGCGAACATCGTCAGTGGCATGTGGATCTTCAGAGTGAAGCGGCCGCCGGGTTCTCCGCCTGTCTTCAAGGCACGTTACGTGGCTCGTGGCTTCAGTCAGCGGCAGGGAGTTGACTACTTTCAGACCTTCTCTCCCACCCCGAAGATGACCACTCTTTGGGTACTGCTGCACGTTGCTGCTCACCGTGACTACGAGCTGCACTCTCTCAACTTCAGCACAGCTTTCTTGCAGGGCAGCCTGCACGAGGAGATCTGGCTGCGCCGCCCACCTGGCTTCACTGGGTCGTTCCCTCCTGGTACCCAGTGGAGCCTCCGGCGTCCAGTTTACGGTCTCCACCAGGTGCCACGTGAGTGCCACGACACACTGAGGACTACACTTGCGGCTCTTGGATTTGCTCCTTCTACTGCCGACCTGTCGCTGTTTCTACGCACCGACACCTCTCTGCCGCCGTTCTACATCGTCGTGTACGTCGACGACTTGGTCTTTGCCACAGCGGACACTGCTGGACTCGCCTACGTGAAGTCTGAGCTGCAGAAGAGACACACGTGCACAGACCTGGGTGAACTGCGCAGCTACCTTGGCTTGCAGATCACCCGGGACAGAGCACGCCGCACCATTACCCTGACTCAGTCACACATGGTGCAGCAGGTCCTTCAGCGCTTCGGCTTCACGTACTCCTCGCCTCAGGCCACTCCTCTGCCTACTCGCCACTCGTTCTCAGCTCTGCCTTCGGATGAGTCCGTAGAGTCGAGTGGCCCGTATCCAGAGCTTGTTGGCTGCCTCATGTACCTGATGACATGCACACGACCTGACCTTGCATACCCTCTTAGCATTCTCGCACGCTATGTTGCTCCTGGGAGACACCGACCAGAGCACATGGCTGCAGCAAAGAGGGTGTTGCGCTACTTGTGCAGTACGTCGGGCATGGGGCTAGTGCTTGGAGGGCGCAGTCCAGTGGTCCTCACTGGGCACGCAGACGCTTCTTGGGCTGACGACCAGGCTACACAGCGGTCGTCATAGGGTTACACCTTCAGCCTTGGTTCCGGCTCTGTCTCGTGGCGGGCTACTCGCTCATCTTCTGTTCTCGGCTCCAGTTGTGAGGCTGAGATCTACGCTGGGGCCATGGCTGCACAGGAGCTTCGCTGGCTCACCTACCTGCTGACTGACCTCGGAGAGCCGCCTCGTTCTCCTCCAGTGCTGTACGTAGACAACAAGGCCATGTTGGCCTTGTGTTGAGAGCAGCGACTGGAGCACAGAACAAAGCACATTGCTCTTCGCTACTTTCTTTCTCGTGAGCTACGGCAGCGTGGACAGTTGCGGCTTGCGTACGTGGCCTCTGAGGCCAACACTGCTGATGTTTTCACCAAGGCACTTCCGCCTTGTGATCATCAGCGCTTCTGCACTCAGTTGGGTCTTGTCCCTGTCTTGCCTCACTTGCTCACCTCTTGATCTTGCTTATACTGTTTCATATATATATACCTGCTCTTGCTTGTCTAGCCTTAAATATATATATGTACTCCTGCATGTGAACTGGCCTTGTGGCCTTGTACTTGTGCTCGGAATGTGTGGTGACTTTGTGATCCACCCTGAGCTTTGCTTTGTTTTGCTTTGCTTGACTAGTCTTGTGACCCCTTGTTCTCCTCCACTTTGCCTATGGGGGTGTGTCAGAACATTATAGCTCATGCATATTGTGTAGGTTATAGTGGGGTAGCCCATAAGGGGTACAACCCAATTAGGGTTAGTACTTGTACACAATTCATTCATAGTTCATTCATCCTCGTTTCAGTTTTATCAAGGGCAACATCCACCGAGACTCCTACGAATCAGCCTGCAGACTTCGACCAGAGCATGATGGAGAATTTTTTCTCCTTCATGTCCTTCTACGAGCAACACCAGTTATCGGCACCTGCGCAGTCACACAACAGCAACAACAACGGAGCAACTCCCATGAGTCTCGACGGCTCAGGACCCCCAGAGGGGTCAGCCCGAGACACCGCAACCGGCCGACTAAGCGGCGTGAGTGTAGTGCGGTCCCGAAAGAAGGAGCGAGAAGCCCCAGAGTCAAGGGTGAAGGTGAGGGAGGCCGAGGCCGACGCAGTACCTGAGAGCGCAGACTCACCAGTACCTGAGGACACAAACGCACTAGCACCTAGAGCAGCAGCGTCGCAAGCACCTAGGGCAGCAGCCTCACCAGTACCTAGAGCAGCAGTCTCAATGCCCGGATCGGGCGGGAAACACCGGTAACAGTCACCCTCATCACTAATAGACACAGCATACATGGCAGAAAGGATAGCAGCAAAATCAAGATCATAGATGGCAACTCCCGCCCAAGACAACTTGCCCCAGCGAGGGATCTCTGTGGCCTCCGGGAAATGGTGACGCCACGCGTCCGTCAGGCGGCCAAAGCAGCGCTGGGTGGGGTGCGCACCCCCACACTGCTCACCCGCACGGTCGCCGGTGCGCAGGACGTAGGTGCACGGACCAAAACCCCCACCCCGCTGGCGTGCAGTGTACCACTCACTGAGCTGCTGAGGGGACAGGGTCTCACGACCGCGCTGCTGCTGCTGGCGCTGACCACCACCGGAGCCACTCCTCTGCGTAGACCCGCGACCAGCTCCACCGCCACCCCCGCCGCCTCCGCCGCCTCCGCTACTACCGCCGCCTCCGCCGCCTCCTCCACCGCCACCACCTCCGCCACCTCCGCTCCCACCGCCACCGCCGCCGCCGCCTCCGCCTCCACCGCCGCCACCGACACCTCCACCCCCACCTCCACTCCCATCGCCACCCCCACTCCCCCCGCCGCCTCCACCTCCACCTCCACCTCCACCGCCCCCGCTCACTCCTCGAGTGCCCCTGCCCCCCTTGCACTTGCCAGAGCGGCGTCTCCCGCTAGGGGCACACGCCGCACCGACCGACTCAAGACCAAGGAGGTCGGCCGCAGCAGCAGAGGCAACAGAGGGCAGAAGGGGGGAGGGGGAACACCCCTCAAAGATGGGGGTGCGCGGGTCACCACGAGAGGCCCCTACAGCGACTATGCTCTTCTCGGCCGCTAGGAGGGACTTCTCGAGGAGGTCAACAGTGAGAGTGGTGGGACAGACTGAGAGGAAGTGGTCCCTGACTACGCGAAGGGAGTCAGGGAGGCGAGTGACTATGTAGTAGAGAGTGATGTACATGGGGGGGGGGGGGGGGGGGGGGGGGGGGGGTTCTTGGCGCAGAAGTCAGCAGGAAGCGCAGCGCGGTAGCGAGTGTCACTAGTGCGGAGGTGCGTAATGAGGTCAGCGACTGTGGGAAAGGCAGCAAGGTCAGGGAAGAGGTACGGTAGCATGAGACGGCTCAGTGCAGCAGTGGCAGGGGAGGAGTAGCGTGCAACTACAGCGTCGTACAAGGTCTGAGCACTCTTGTACTGACTAAAGTGCGCACGCTCAGAGGTAGGGAGGTGGCGACGCACACCAAGACGTGTAGCAGCATCGCGCGTGGCCCACTGGGAGCGAACAGTGGCGTCAGCATCAGCAGCAGGAGCAGGAGAGGCACCAGAGGTGAGGTCAAAGAGGGAGAGACCGTCTGCCCTATCGCACTGTAAGAACAGCTGCAAGTCATCTACCCAGACGTCAAAGTCAATGGCTCGACCCTCGGCGTCAAAAGCGAGGACACTAGGGGTAGCCATGACAGCAGTAGACTAGCAGCGCTAACTATAGAGCAGGGGCAGTGCAGTGACAGAGGCGCTGCGCTCACCAGACAGGGCGATTCGGTCAGCTCGGGCGGCTCGGCAGCAACTGCGGCTCGGCGGCACCCGCGGCTCGGCTCCTCAGCTGCTCAGGCGGCTCGGGCGGCTCGGGCGGCTCGGGCGGCTCGGGCGGCTCGGGTGGCTCGGGTGGAACGGGCGGCTCGGGCTGCTGAGCGGCGCGGGCGGCTCGGCTGCATAGGCGGTTTGGGCGGGGCCGTAGGTAGGGCAACGGGGCCGGGTCGAAGGTAGGGCGACGGGGCCGGTGCGCAGGTAGGGCGACGGGGCCGGGTCGAAGGTAGGGCGTCGGGGCCGGGGCCGGGCCGTAGGTAGGGCGACGGGGCCGGGGCCGGGCCGTAGGTTGGGCGACGGGGCCGGGTCGAAGGTAGGGCGACAGGGCCGGGCCGTAGGTAGGGCGACGGGGCCGGGGCCGGGCCGTAGGTAGGGCGACGGGGCCGGGTCGACGGTAGGGCGACGAGGCCGGTGCGCAGGTAGGGCGACGGGGCCGGGGCGGGGCGCAGGTAGGGCGACGGGGCTAGAGCCGGGGCCGCAGGTATGGCGACGGGGCTAGGGTCGTAAGGGGGCCGGGGTTGCAGGTAGGGCGACGGGGCCGGGGCGCAGGTAGGGCGACGGGGCCGGGGCGCAGGTAGGGCGACGGGGCCGGGGCGCAGGTAGGGCGACGAATCAGGGGCCGCTAAGGCGGCGCGACTTGGCCGCTAGGGCGGCTCGACGAAGTCAGAGAAGGGAGCGCGACTCGGGCAGAGCGCGCTCCGGGCAGTAAAAAAAAACTTTCGACTTGGTGGGCCCTAGGCACAGTTCCCACGAGGGAACCTGCTCGATACCATGATAAAACTGAAACGAGGATGAATGAACTATGAATGAATTGTGTACAAGTACTAACCCTAATTGGGTTGTACCCCTTATGGGCTACCCCACTATAGCCTACACAATATGCATGAGCTATAATGTTCTGACAGCCCTGGGTCTTGTTATTGTGCCCTCCTCTGTCTGTAGGCCAGAGGCAGGAGGTGGAGTAGGAGTAGTGCCCTGGGAGCCGTTGGAGGTGCTCCTTTATTTTTGTGTAGCCATGCCTGTTGATGTTGTCGGTATTTTTGTAGAAGTTGAATTCTCCCTGACTTCTCTCATACCATGTTGGGCTGAGAAAAGCCCTTAAGATCTTTACAGGGATGAACCAGGCCCTCAGATTCGTTTTTGGCCTGTCTGATTCGTCAGACTCTTTCTCAGTATTAGTCTGAAATCCTCAGAGTTGTCTAAAAAAAAAGTCTGAAACGTCAGAGTGTGTTTAAAAAAAAAGTCTGAAACTTTCAGAGTACACTCAAGTAAAAGTCTGATTGTGCTTGTTGTAGCCCTAGTAATCATATTGAAGCAAGCCTACTCCACTTCTCATACAGCTTTGCCTACATTCATACTAGTACTACTACTACTATTAATGATGCTGCTTAGCCTTCACAAGATCACAGTTAGAATAGAACTAACTAACTAACTACCCTACCTACATCCAGTCAGCAAATCCATCGTCATCATCACTGTCAACTGCATCTTTCTCAGCGTCTAAGTCTACCACTTCCATCTCGTCATCAACCTCCCTACTCTTCTTGCTCTGTTGCCTTCCTGCGGGCGGGAGTGGAGCGTTGCTTTGGGGCTTGCGCTTCTTGTAGCTCCTCCAGATGGTCACAATTTCATCCCACTTGGGCTCGTAGTCCATGAGACTCATGCACATGAGGTCTCCTAGGCGTGCATCTTTCAGCGCGCCTCTCTGCCACGACTTGATGATGTTCTGGCGGGAGAATCCCCGCTCGCACTCCACTGTGCTCAGCGGCAGTACGGCTACTGCCACCCACAGAAGCACGAGGTTGGGTTAGTTGTCCCGCCAGTCGGGTGTCTTGAGCATGGTAGTGAGCCCGGCGTGGAAGCTGCGCTCGTTCTTCGTGGCTCCTGCAAGCACCGAGGAGAACATGCGCAGCTCCTTTTCCGCACGACGCTTGTTGATTCCTGGTGGGGGAGGAAGAGTAACAGTAGACGATGCTTAGTGAATATACAGTGAAGCACAACATATGCAATGCCAATCACAACAGTTACATGAGAACTACACAAACATGGGCTTGTCGGGGAGGATCTCCTCGGTCTGGTCGGCCTTGAAAAGGGTCACAAGCGACTCCAGCCACTCCATGCACCTACGGTTCCTCTCTCCTCGATCCAGCGGGTACTCGTCGGGGGTGAATAGCCTTGCCCCAGACATCCCTTCCAGATCGTGCGCGCCGTGGTCAGAGGCGAATGCTGCGAGGCCGCACCCACAGTTGGTTCCGCAGGTGTCTCTGCCATAGGTTCGGCAGACAGTGAGATAACCGGTGCCGTCGGTTCTTTCTGTGTGGGGATCGTATCGGGCGTGGCGCGTGCTGCCTTGTCGAGTTCTAACGTACTGAGAAGAAAGTCTAAGCCTGTTAAGGCAGGCTGGGAATCAAGGTCGGGATCGCTGGAGCCGGGATTGTCCAGCACCGCCATGGCGGGGTTCAGAAAGAGCCTGCCGAGCAGGAACAAGAAATGTGTTCGCGAGGCAGAACTAGGGACTGGCTGAGGCCAGTCAACACCAGCTAGGGGGTGTGGATGAAACCCTAGCTGAAAGGTGATGGCAATACGGTAGACAAGACAAGGAGGACCCGTTGAGGTGGATGGGTGGTTGCCTTGCATGCACGACAACGACGAGGCGCGTCAGAAGTGCAATGCTGTCAGCGTTGTGACGTGGGTGGCTAGTGCAGCATCGTGGGTGCAAGGCCGGTCCGTGATGGCACACAGAAGCTGCCATAAGGACCAATCGGTGCTATAGCAGGGTGTGCGATGGTGTTTACGTAGGAAAAACCGCGTCGTAGGGCGGCCACGCCCACAAAACTTGACTGTTGATGTGTGGTCCCAGGTTACGCGTGATTGACCAGCCAGGTACACGTACTAGCGCAAATCGTGGGTGTGGGTGCCAAGGTACATTGAATCAGTTTCAGAGTCCGTACGCATTTGACTCTGAATTATCATAGTACACTCAAAAAAATCTCTGAAATTGCAGACTTGGCTTAAAAAAAACTCTGAATTTAACCGACAACACTTAAAAAAAGGTCTGAATTTAACAGACAACACTAAAAAAAATAGTCTGAGAAATCAGACTTTTATAGGCAAATCAGAGAAATTTCTCTGACTTCATGGGGCCTGGGATGAACTCTGGGTAGGACTGTAATAGCGGAAGCGTTTAGTGAAGAGATTGTGAACCACCTTGCGCTAGTATGTGAGGGCAAAGTAAGTTGATTAAAACAAAGAGATACAAGATTATATATAAGAGTACAAGGAATACGAATGGATACGATTGTAGCTACTTTACTGTTGCTGTTGCGGTTCGATACAGTGACGACTCGGGCAACTGCTCTGTAGCGAGTCAGTTGTGTGTCCTTGCTGTCGCGCTGTATTTGTCAGGTCAAAGGTCGCTGACCTTTGACTTTCGCATAACCTCCAGCAGTTACTTCAACCTCCGAGGGTTGACTCGCTGGTGCCTCGATATGCTTTGCTTCGCTTGTGCCTTGGTGGTTTGACACGACAGAGGCGCTTAAGACCTATTGTTTCCAACAAGATATAACCTTTTCTGCATAATTTTCACTCCTACCGTAAATCGCTCGGGCAATTACATTTCGATAAAGGAACGGACGTAACAGGTATTGGACTTAACTGGCTGACGAATACGAGTCTGCGAGTTGCTTGACTGTTACCTAGGTTGCAATAGCGTCGTAATAATGGATACAATTCCGTGAGTACTTTAATTGTCGTAGGTATGAAAAGGTGTCACAAACAGTGTGCGGACGAAGCTCAGTCTGGACGCTGTTCTCGGACCGTCCAAACAATTGGTATCAGAGTGTTTTCCGAACGGTTATCTGGAAGTTTTCCACATTTCAGATATGTAGCACGCCCTTATATATGTATATGCTAATGATATCCCAATACTTGTACTCTGTCCTAGCTGTACGCTATTTTCTTTCGTGCATCGCGGATGCATTTCTCTTCATTTTTCCCGCGCGCGGGCAACCCCTTCTGTGTCAGGTGGTCCCCACACCTGTCCACGGGCTGGGGCTGCGTCAGCTTGCTTCCCGCCCTCGACAGGCTGACGAGCTCGGTTCTGGGCGGTTCAGTGCAACCGTCGCCAGATTCGTGCTGTCACAGATTTTCCCGTGTAAGCACTGCACTACTAGTCTCGTCTCTGCCTTCCTCATTGCCTAAGCAGTAATCTGTTCCTCCCTACTTTCCCTGGCGATCCTGTTTTCGCTGACAGCGGGTCACGCTAACGTCTGCGGAGCGTGCAATTCCAAGCTAACATTTCCTCGGCACGTTGGGAGTCCACGCTAACGACTGCGATGGCGTCACTAAAAGCACTTTACTTCGTTCCGTACAACGCGTTCC